TCGTTAGTAGCCTAGTGGTTACGAATTGGGCTGCAAAACGCAAGGTCAGCAGTTCGAAACTACCACTGCTCCGTGGGAGAAAGATGAGGCTTTCTGCTCCCGTAAAGATGTACAGCCTCGGAAACTCTGTTCGAGGTCACTATGGGTCAGAACCAACTCGACGGCACTTAACAACAACAACAACATGAGAGGGACACAGGAGAGTCACAGTGAGAGACAAAGATTGGAAGTCTCTGACTTTGGAAAATGGAGACTATGGTGCTAAGGCACGGAATGCAGGGGAAAAGGAAGGAACAGATTCCCTCTTAGGAAGAGAATAAGGTCCTTGACGTTCAGATTTCTGCCCTCCGGAATGCTAAAATAATCCATCCCTGTTGTGGAGACATGTCATAGCAGTCACTAATGTTAATACCGTACCTCCATATATGATTTCATTCAATCCTCTTAGTACAAGTAACGCTATAAGAAGGTGCTACTGTTAATGGTGTTAAGTGCCATCAAGTCGGTTACTCGTCGTAACCTTGTATAGGGTTATTGAGGAGTGACTGGTAGGTTTGAACTGCCAACCTTATGAGTAGCAGTCCAGAGCTGATCCTACAGCACCACACCAGGACTCCAACGTGCTATTATCATCCTCACTTTGCAGATGAGAAAACTCAGACATGGAGAAGCGAATAATTCTCCCAGGGCCACATAGAAACAGGCTTTGAACCTTCCACAGATGGTTCCAGAGCCCTGGCCCTTAGCCCCTACGGCACTCTAAGGAATGAAAAGACAGATGATGGGACTTAGAGTGACCTGGCTGACCACCGAAGCCTCTGAAGGCATCTCCATAATCACCCTGCCCAGTTCTCCATCAGGTTTGATACTGGGCACAGCTCACACCCATATTGGCATCATAATAAGGGTGACCTTACACCCACACCCAGTAGCAGACTTACTGCACACACAGCACCAGGAAGGCTGAACTACCCACATCACACCCCCTCCACCTCCAGCGTGATTCTAGAATCCCACCCTTAGAGTTTGATCGGTTTTGCCTTTATCCCCATTCTGACTCTCACTTCAAGCTATTACTGAATCCTTAGAAATGCAGATGATGCAAATCATGGATTGAAAGGAATGTTAGGGCCTGAGAGGTGACACCCCAAGTCTGTTTGTCCAGTACTCAGGCCCACATGAGGTATTAGCCCTACAGGGCTCTCCCGTTATGCTACCTGCTAGGAGAGGCTGCAACACCCAGGTACCCCAAAGCTGGTGAGGCATGGTCTCCCTGCCCAGGCCACTCTCTACCCTCCCCACCTCCCTTCCATAAAACATCTGTTTTCTGTTCTTTGTTAGGAACATCTTGTCCCTAAAGCCCAGGGCAGTTTGTGAGGAGGTGCTTTGCTGGCCTGTGATCTGTGTCCCAAACCAAATGTGCTCATTGAGCCCACAGATCACCACTTATTTTCCTGTTAAAGAATAATAACTTGTGTGGCTTGTATTTGATCAGCCCCAGAGAACTCTGTCTCTCCTTCCCTCTAAATCGTCCTTCATAACACCCCATATCATTGTTCTTTTGTTTAATAGCAAAACTCTTTAAAATTGAGATTTTATTTACAAGTAATAAAATTCACTTATTTTAAATGTGCAATTTGATGAATGTTAGTAAATATATATAAATATATTTAAGGAGTTCTGGTAGCATAGTGGTTATGAGTCAGGTTACTAATCTAATGGTCAGCAGTTCAAAACTATGAGTGGTTCCACAGGAAAAACATAAGACTTTCTGTTCTATAAAGATTTATAGCCTCGAAAACCCTATCTATGCAGGGTCATTGTGAGTCAGAACTAACTCCATGGCATGTAACTACCACCACCAGAGAATATATGTAACCTTGGGTCTTGAAAAAGGGTCCTGGTGCCTCTGTGTGGTACCAGTCCCCTCAACCAAACTCAGGCCCAGGCAACAACTGATGCACTTCTGTCACTATCATTTTGCCTTTTCTAGCATCCATAAGAATACAGTCGCACAGAATGCCATTATTTGTGTTTGGCTTACTTTACTTAGCACAGTGTCTTTGAGATTCATCCATGCAATTGCTTGTATTAGAATTTTATTCCATTTGATTGATTGGTAATGTTCTATGAGTTGGAGCCTACTCAACAGCACTTAACAACAACAGCGTAGTATGGATAAGGGAATAAGGTGCCCTGGTGTTGCTGTGGGTTAGGCATTGCTATGCTAAGTACAAGGTCAGCTGTTCAAACCCATCAACCATTCTGGGAAAGAAAGATAAGGCTATTTGCTCCCATAAAGATTTATGGTCTCAGATCCTGTATAGGGTTGCTATGAGTCACAGTATACTTAGTGGCAGTGCATGGTTTATAGTATGGATATAGGACAATTTGTTAGTCTGTTCTCCAATTGATTGATAGACATTTGGGTTGCTTCCAGTTTGGGGCGTTTTGTTGGTTTGTTTTTTTTTCCATAATAGCTGTAATGAGTATCCACATACTCATCTTTGTGTGGGCATGTTTTAATTTTTCCTGGATAAATACCTAGGAGTGGAGTTTATGGGTTGTATGGTAAGTGTATGTCTAATTTTATAAGATACTTTCATAGATTTTTCCAAAGTGTCTGTACCACTTTGTACTCCTAGCAGCAATGTTTGAGAGTTCCAGTTGTTTCACATGCTCACCAACATTTGGTATTGTCAGTCTTTTAATTTTGGCCATTCTAGTAAGTGGATGTTGTTGTTGAGTGCTGTCAAGTTGATTCCGACCCATAGCGACCCTGTATAGGGTTTCCAAGGAGCAGCTGGTGAGTTTGAACTGCCGACCTTATGGTTCAAACGGCTTTGCAGTCTGGCTCATTAACCCACAGTGCCACACCAGGACTCTAGTGGTATCTCATTTGGTTTTAATTTGCATTTTGCTGATGACTGTGGATGTTTAGCATCTTTCATGAACGTATTTGTCATTCATATATCTCCCATTATGAAGTATTTGTACATCTTTAAAATCAGGTTGTGTATCTTCTTGTTGAGGCGCTCTTATGATGTAGTGGTTACTCACATTGGGCTATTCATCACAAAGTCAGTAGTTCAAATTCATTAGCTACACCTCTGGAGCAAGATGAGGCTTTCTGCTACCATAAAGATTTACAGCCTTGGAAACCCTATAAAGGGTCACTGAGTCAGAGCCAACTCGATGACATACAACCAACCAGCCATAAGAGTTCTTTATGTATTCTGGTTACATGCCCTTTTCTGGATATATATTTTTCTCCCCTGAATTTATTCTTGACGAGACATAGGGAGATGGTGTGGAAACAGCCCTGTTATGCTGCTTCCTAGTTGAGCGTCCTTGGGCAAATTCCTATCCCTTTCTGAGTCCTGGTGGTGCTGTTAAGAAAGCACTGGACTGCTAACTACAAGGTTGGTGGTTCAAACTCACCAGCGGCTCTGTGGGAGAAAGATAAGGCTGTCTGCTCCCCTTACGATTTACAGTCTCAGAAACCCTATATGAAGTCATGCTCCCCTTACGATTTACAGTCTCAGAAACCCTATATGAAGTCACTATAAGTTGGAATCAACTCATGGCGGTGGGTTTGGTTTGATAATGTTTCTGAGCCTCAGTTTCTTCATCAGTAAAGTGAGAACAAAAAAACCTAGCCTGTCTACCCCACAGGCTTGTAACGGGCCCCAAGAGGAAATGTAGCCATGGAAACATTTTCTCAACACTTCAGGCCTGTGGGCAGACTAACAGTACTGTCAAGTTGCACCTTGTGTCATTGGTCTTGGGTGTACATCCCCTGGAAGGGGAAAAAAGAGGTGTGGGGCTGGCATGCTTCCATTCAGGATGGGATGCCAAGGAGGGGTGCAGATAGGAATTGTGAGGAGAGACCCCATGAGTCTCAGGGAGGGAGACAGTCACTCACACTAAGAGAATCCCAGGTGTCTACTCTGTGCTGGCTACTTCCCTTCACACTAGGACCATGACTGTGACCCTCACAGAGTCCCCAGATGCCTAGTTCACTAGCAAAGTGATCACAAGGTTCTAGAAAGTGCCTAAAATTGGCCTGTGGTAAGCAGAGGGTGGGGCAGGAGACTAAAAAAAAAAAAGGTGAGGGGAGTAGAGGTCTAGATCTAGCCCATGACCTCTACAATGAAAATCTCCTCAAAGCTCAGAGCCTTGTCTTACACAGACTTCCTGGAAGTAGCTAGTCATGGCAGTTGTCTTCAACAGGAGTCCAGCACTTTACAGTTCCCAAGTGTCTCTTCATGCATTTTAGTTAATCCTCACAAATGGGATGGTCAGTGTCAGAAGTACTTTCCATATTTACAGATAAGGAAACCAAGCTTAGTAAGGAATGGCTTGCTCAAGGTCACACAACTAAAATGAAAAATATATAATTATTATTAAAAGGAGCCCTGGTAACACTGTAGGATAAGCACTAGACTGCTAACCACAAGATCTGCAATTCAAACCCACCTGCCACTTCACGGGAGAAAGATGAGGCACTCTACTCCAGTAAAGATTTACAGTCTCAGAAACCCTGTGTAGTTAGGGTCACTGTAAGTCAGAATTGCCTCAGTAGCAGTGGGTTTGGTTTTGGTATTATTAAGAGTAAACTTTAAAAATCACGAACCAGAACTTTTCTAGTTTGCCAGGTATCCCCCCATCTGTTTTCTTACATTAGTCACCCAGCATAGGACAAAGTACCAATGAGGATTTTGAGGCCCATAGAGGTGAGCAAACTAAACTGGGATTACAACCCAAATCTCCTGACACCCAAACCATGGCTCTCCACAAGGAACTCACAGCCTTCTCATTGAGCCCCATGTCTCTGTGTGGCTCCGTGGGACGGAGATAACCATCATGGGCCCAGCACCCATAAGAAGGCATGGAGAGCTTCCTGAGCCTCTGGTAGCCCAGCCTGGTGCCTACCCTGGTGAATCCTGGTGCTCTGCAGGGATCCCAGCAGCATCCAGTGACTTGCTTCTTGTTTCCAGGACCCCCCCGATGGAACTGAGGCTCAAGCTGGGTGCCCCTTTGCAGGTGTTGGCTGTTCCTTCAAGGTAAGCATCTGAGTGTGAAAAATGTCTGTCCTCTAAAGTCACAGATCTCTCCACTCAGCCCCTCCATGATGTCAAGCCACTCCCCTGGATGTTCCCAAGAAAACAAATCCCACTGTTAAGTCATCTTGGTACTCTTAGAAGTTCTTCATGTCTCACCTACGCATTGGTATTTACTGCTGTGGTCAGGTACCATGGAATCAATTACAACTCATAGCCACCCTATGTGATAGAGTAGAACTGCCCCACGGGGTTTTCTTAGCTGGAATCTTTATAGAATCAGTTTGCCTGTCTTTCTCCCTCAAAACCACTGGATGAGTTCAAACTGCCAACGTTTAGGTTAGCAACCAAGCACTTAACCATTTGCACCATCAGGGCCCTAAAATAACCCTTTGTCTCTCTCTGAACCATCCTGCGCTCAAGGACAGGGCAGGGTCACTGCTTTGAAGACTGGGATGCCCTGAATCCCCACTTCTCCCCTTGCACCTTATCCCTCCCTCGCCAGGCTGCATACACTGCTCCCTTCCCTTTGCTGGGTGAGTGGGTCTGACTTTCCCTGGTAATCTTTGATGTGTTGTTGTTGTTGTTAAGTGCCATCGAGTCGGGTCCGACCCATAGCGACCCTGTACAGGGTTTCCGAGGGTGTAAATCCTTACGGGAGTAGAAAGCCTCATCTTTCTCCCGCGGAGCGGCTGGTAGTTTCGAACCGCTGTCCTTAAGGTTCGCAGCCCGATTCGTAACCACTACGCTACCAGTAGTGCTCGCCTTTTCCTTGTTCCTGCCTCACCTTCTCTGTTGGCACTGACCAGCCCTGCTGTCTCTCTGCAGGGAAGCCCACAGTCTGTGCAGGAGCACGAGGCCACTTCCCAGGCCTCCCACCTAAACCTGCTGTTGGTCTTGATGAAACAGTGGAAGGCCCAGCTGGACTCTAGCCAAAGATCTGGACCCATGGCCCTGGAGCGGAACCTGTCAGACCTACAGCTGCAGGCGGCTGTGGAGGTGGCCGGGGACCTGGAGGTGGACTGTTACCGGGCACCCTGCTCCGAGGGCCAGGAGGAGCTGGCCCTACAGCACTTCATGAAGGAGAAGCTCCTAGCTGAGCTGGAAGAGAAGCTGCGCGTGTTTGAGAACATCGTCGCCGTCCTCAATAAGGAGGTGGAGGGCTCCCAGTTGGCCTTGGCTGCCTCCATCCATCAGAGCCAGCTGGACTGCGAGCGCATCCTGAGCTTGGAGCAGAGGGTAAGCACGGGAGCAAGCTTGCCTTCAGTGTCTGTGCTGGAGTCTCTCCACCCCACTGATCTCTAGAGCACTAGAAGGGCCTTCCTCCCAATTGACAGTATTCATTTCCCCCCCACCCCCTCTACCCACGTCAAAACATCTCTCCTTCCAGAGAGAGCACTGAGTCAGCCTGTCAGTCCAGGTCAGCCCCTCACATCCAGTACTTCGCCTGCTATAGGCCACTCACTTGCCTGGCAGCTCATTCTTCTATTCAAGTGTTTCACTGTTAGAAACTTCTTTCTTACACAAAGTTAAAATCTACCTCCCTGTGTCTTCCCTGCACTGTTCCTGAACCTGCCCCTCAGAGCCTTCTAGTCCCCATGATGACCCCTCAGCGGGGACAGAATTGTATCCTACCTGAGTGTCTCCTCCCTTTCACTCAATGCCCATTGCCCTCACCCTTTGTCAGGGCCCAGCATCTCATGCTGTCCTCGTGTGTTCGGGCTCAGTCTCTAAAGGATTTCGCAGGCTCAGAGTGTGCTCCCACTTACCTGACAGCTTGTGGTTAGGAACAACTGCCCTCCCAGAGCATTTATTTTTATTAATGTAGCCAGTCGCTATGTCGGTGTTGCTTGTTTGTGTAGCAACAGTACACCATTGTCTCATATTGAGTTGTTGTTGTTAAGTGCCATTGCATCAGTTCCAACTCATAGTGATCCATAGGGTTTCAAGGATCTGCTGGGGGTGTTGAACCACTGACCTTGCAGTTAACAGTCCTATTTTTATCCTATTTGCTCCACCTGTCTGAGCAAGTCACTTTTCCTCGCAAAGCTTCAGCATCCCCATCAGCAAAGAAGGGATGAAATGTTCTTTAAGGGCACCAACCACACCTGCACTCCTAGCTTCCCTACCTGAGCACATTCAAGCACACATTTGTGGCTTTGGAGGTTCCCTGCAGACAGGACAGCCGCCTACCAAGGGCCAGGTGCTGAGTTTGAATGACCAAATAAAGCCTTTTTTATGTGGCACTTGTCCCAATTAGAAGGTCAGCTCCCTGAGGGCAGTGACTATGTCTTCATTTCTTCAACAAGCATCCTGCTTCTCTTCTTACATGCCACATATTATGAAAAGCATGGAGAGAGAAGACATGAGCATGGCCAGCCCTCTCAGTAGGTAGGGGGGACCATCTGGCAGAGAAGGCAGAAAAGTATACTCATAAATCATGCTAAGAGCTGTATGAGAACAGACAAAAGTGACCAGCTGGCCTAGGACAGTTTCCCAGAGGAAGAGCTCTATGAAGTGGACTCCTGATGGATGAATAGAAGTTGGCCAGTGGTGAAGGAAGGAAAAGGAATTCCAGGCAGAGAGAGCAGCATGTACAAAGGCTAAAGCATGTGCTGAGCATGCTGCATGGTCAGCAGGGCATATTTTGGGCAGGGCTGTCTCCATATCTTGCTATCCCCTCTGATCCCCACGCCAAACCGGCTGCTAGCAACCCTGGCTGACTCGGCTTCCCTGCAGGTGGTGGAGTTGCAGCAGACCCTGGCCCAGAAAGACCAGGCCCTGAGCAAGCTGGAGCAGTGTCTCAACCTCATGGAGGAAGCCTCCTTCGATGGCACCTTCCTGTGGAAGATCACCAATGTCACCCGGCGGTGTCATGAGTCAGCCTGTGGCAGAACCATCAGCCTCTTCTCCCCAGGTAACACCTCCCCAAGGGCACAGAAACCGGCTAGGGGAGTCAGGCCCCACTGGGCCCAACAAACCCTGCAATAGCTGCCCTATATCCCATAAGGCCAATGTCCATTCAGGCTAGCGATTGTACTGGGACTGTGGAAGGTGGGAAGGGAAGGAGTGCTGAGCTGTAGGCCCAAAGAACTGGGCTCAAGTCTCCACTCAGCGATGTATGTGCTATTGGACTGTCGGAACCTGGGCAAGCTGTTTCACCTCCCTGAGCTCCAATGTCATTTTGCAATGGAATAAAAATATTTACCTCATGGAGATACTAGATGTAAAAGAAAGTGCAAATCACCAAAGCTTTGTACCGAGGAAAGGAATACAGATGATGATTTTCACAGGGGAGCCCTGCTCTCGGAGCTGGTGAGCTAAGACAGGGGAGAACACAATGTGTATAACTGTGTCCCTCAAAGATGCCTGTTGTGTAAATCAAGGCAAAGTCTCATTCATTTCTCTGTCCCTGGGCTTGGCCCCATGTCTGCTGTGAAGTAATTATTCAGTAAATGATTCTCCTAATTAGTTGGTATATGTTTATACAGCAGTGTATATGTTGTTGTTGTTGTTAAGTACCATGGAGTCAGTTTTGACTCACAGTGAACCTGCACAGGGTTTCCGAGGCTGTAAATCTTTACGGGAGCAGAAAGCCTCATCTTCTTCCGCGGAACAGCTGGCAGTTTCAAACTGCCGACCTTGAGGTTAGCAGCCCAATTCGTAACAACTACGAAATACCCATGTGTGCACATCAGTATATGGCAGTACCATATGCCATATGGGTGACCACTGGCCATGCAATGCGCAAATCTTTGCAAGGCTCCTGTTGTCTCAACTTCTTGTTGCAGACAGCAAACTGAGGCCCAGAACTCCTAAGTCTTGCTGCACAGCATGTTGAGAGGGACCCAGGACCCAGACCTACATGGTCTAAGTGAACCAGAAGGACAAGAATGGAGGAGGAGGACTGTAAGGACCTCCCACATCTGCCTCTCCATTATTCCTTTTATGTCTCTCACTTCTCCAATACATCCAAAAGCAGCAGAGCTGGGATTGTTCCCCTTCCCTCCCCTCTTGATTTTCTGCAGGCCAACAGTGAGGCAGAGGGTCCTGGTTCCACCCCAGATCCCCTTCCTGCAGGGGCAGCATTCTCCCATCTGTGGGGCAGCTCTCTTCATGCAGTAGAGGCTCACATGCCATGTGTAGATCTTTTTTAAAGATGGCAAAAGCAAGCAGTGCCTCTTGCTTCCTGTTTTCCCAAAACATAAGGGCCAGAGATGAGTCAGCCTACCCTCCCAGAGGTTCCCTGTGGTACCAGCTGCCAGAACCCACCCTCAGAACAGCCAGATGAGTCAGCCTACCCTCCCAGAGGTTCTCTGTGGTACCAGCTGCCAGAACCCACCCTCAGAACAGCCCTCTCAGCTGCCCAGAGAGGACCTCTGGGTCCCTGTACTTAATCACCTCAAGATATTTCAGCCCTTGGGGCCTTAGCAAAGGTTGGCAGTGACTGAGCTGTCCCCCTCTCCACCAGCTCCTAGGGGACATCAATCAATTGACTGAGGGTGGCAGGAAAAAGAGCACTGTTTGTAGATAGGTGGTCTAGTCTTTACTCCTGGCTCTGCCCCAACACACTGAGACCTTGGTCAGCTACTTCTCTGTCCTGGGCTTGGCTTCCTGACTGAAATGCAGGTTAGATCAGTGGTTCTCAAAGTGTGGTCCCAGGACAGACACATCCGCCTCCCCTGTGGAACTTGTCAGAAGTGTAAATCCAAGTCCTTAGGCAACTCTACTGAATCAGAAATGATGGCCTTTAGCAAGTCCTCCGAAAGATTCCAATAGCTAGCACTGGGCTGGATGATCCCAGGGAACCTGTGCTCTTTGGTACTTTGTAATGGAGAAGATCACCAAGCTCTCGCCCCAGCTTTTTAGTTCTGAGCCACTGACCTTGGGCCTAACCATTGGGTCCCAGTTTCCTCCCTTGCACTTCCCAGCTGCCTCTCTGTGCTGACTCTAGCTTCCTTATTTCAGCTTTCTACACTGCCAAGTATGGTTACAAGTTGTGCCTTCGGCTTTACCTGAATGGGGACGGGACAGGAAAGAGGACCCACCTATCTCTCTTCATCGTCATCATGAGGGGGGAATATGATGCCCTATTGTCCTGGCCTTTCCGAAACAAGGTGTGAACTTCCCTTCAGGGAAATGGGGAGGAAGATCATGGAGCCTGGGTCCCAGTCCTGGCCTCTGTGGGAACTAGCTGTGTGACATGGAGCAAGCCCCTTGCCCTCTCTGTTCTTACTCATATAGGGAGGAAATGACACTAACTTGACTCCAATTTGGAATTAGGTTTGGAATAATATTTGGTCTTTTATAAAATGAGGGGCTGAGTGCTCCCCCTTCCAGGTCTGGTCCAGCTGAAATGCTTGGACTGAGTGCTCCCAAGGGAAATTCCCAGGATGAGGAGAATAAGGAAAACTCTGGAAGGAGAGGAGGTGCCCTATGGCTAGCTTCAAGGCAGGATTGCCAGCAGAAGGCATTCTGTGCCAGTGAACTGGCCAGTGGGGTCAACAATACCAGACTCATCTGGGGTAGAGGGAAATGAAGGAAAACAGGAGGAGGGTAAGGAGGCAGTGCCAAGTTGGTCTGGATGTGAGGCAGCAGCCCAGCCGGTCTCCAATGTGCTGAGGAGATTTTTAAATACCAGTGACTGGCTCTCACTCTGGTAAACAGTGATGCCTCCCTGACATGGGTAGTTTTCAGACTTCCCCTGGGGAGTCTAAGGTCATCCCATAGACAATGGCTTCTCAACAGTCTGGACCAGTGGAGAGGGTATTTTGTGTCACCTTCAATTCATTAGCTCCCTGAGGGCAGAGCCAGGTCTGCTAGATTTGCAACAGGAGCCCCAGATCGGTTTCAGATCATGGGCAGGTCCTGAGGAGAGGGTCTGCCAGCTCCTCCCTTCTGTTTTGCCCCTGGAGGTCCCAGCAGTACTTGATGAATCAGTAATGTCAGAGCCAGAGGGGAGTTACTGGTTATTGAATGTAGGCTCCTTGCCAATGCTGTCACCCCCATTTAACCCTAACAGCGAAATCAAAATGGATTCTGTGGCACCCAGATCTCCTACTCCTACTACATAGATGGTCTGATCCCTAATCATAGGCCAGCCCGCCCCCACTGCCCCAGTCCTCACCAGTCTAAGCTGAGGGTCCAGGGTTACACAGATGATAAATCCACACTTGGACCTGTAAGCTTGACGTTCCATCTTCCCTGCAGGTCACCTTCATGCTACTTGACCAGAACAACCGTGAGCATGCCATCGACGCCTTTCGGCCTGACCTGACCTCAGCATCCTTCCAACGGCCCCAGAGTGAAACCAATGTGGCCAGTGGCTGCCCACTCTTCTTCCCTCTCAGCAGACTACAGTCCCCCAAGCACGCCTATGTGAAGGATGACACCATGTTCCTTAAGTGCATTGTGGAGACCAGTGCTTAGGTTGTGGGGAAGGCCAAGCAAGTCATGCCTGGGTCTTGAGGGACAGCCAGCTTGCACAGGGAACTTAGCAAGATGACCTTGAGATCCTACCCCAGCATCCCAAGATCCAAGGGCATAAGTGTTTCCAGACCTGGAGCTACTGGGATCTGGGCAGACTGACACGTGGACTGTGGCTGGCCACCAGCTCAGGGTGGGAGCACCTTGGACTGCTCCCAAAAGGCAAAAGGGCCAGAAGGAGGCGACAGCAGCAGGATTGCCTCCAGAGTGGGAGGACTGGTAGCCACCCCAACCTGCATGCTGAGATGAACTTGAGGGCTTGTGCGTGGATGGGGACCTAGAAGTGTAGAAACACAAATGAGAAATGCTGGACCAGGGGTAGAAGGAACCTGGTCAGCTATATTAACTGTCTCTCCAGGCCTGGAATGAGCTTTCCATCACTGGAGGTGAAGCAACAAAGCCAGCTGATTACTCTGGAGGGTGGGACATCAAATTGGGGATTGGATGGGAAGAACTTTAAGGTCCTTTCTAGCCTAGATATTCTCTAATTACAAGCTCCTGGCATAGAAGGTCTGGAAACAATCAGGAGCCTCAAACTTTCCTGGTTCTTCACTCACCTTCAGCCCCCCACCCCCACCCCCAGGTGGTCTGAGCTGGCCAGCACAGCACCTGCCAACCTGGGCCCGGAGCAACTCAGCTTCCCCAGAAGGCCAGGCATAGAGCTCCTCTCTCCTGGGCCTCCAGCTGTCCAAGTCTCCTTCACTTCAGGGCACTATGCGCTCCCAGGAACAACCGGAAGAAGGGCGTGAACCCACCACTTTGCCTTCCTGGAGTCTCAACCTTGGTGCTCTCCAGGATGCCATGCTGCCTGGTTAACCAAGATGTTCACTTTTCTTCAATGACTGATCAGGAGCTCTGAGCCTCTGAGTAGAGGTGGTCTTTTAAAATGCACATAGAATCAAAGAAAGAATTAAAAACTGAACTCTTTTGAAGTGTTCACAAAGTCTATGGGTGTAGGAGTTGATCCTAATTGAACCAAGCTTGAAAAGCTCATAGTTCTAGAGGATGCTTTAGGTTTGGTCCATGGTATCAAAGGCTCTCTGCTGACAAGAGGAGTACCCTCTCTAGACCTCAGTATTCTTTCCATAATGGAAAACCTCCCGAGCCCTCCTCCCTCGCTCAGGTCTGTGAACCTCAAAGGAGCGGCTACACAGGAGACAGGTGAGAAGAGCCTGCTGTGGGCTGCCTGTGACTGCGTGTCCTTTACCTAGGAGCATTCACACATCCATTTCTCAGGAGGTTCACTACTTTCCGGAGGCCCTCCAACTCCCTACCAGCCTATTGTTACTGTTCAGTGCCATCAAGTCGATTCTAACTCATAGCAACCCTGTACAGGTGAGTCGCTGCTGAGTTTGAACCACCGATCTTTGCAGTCCAGTGCTGATCCTACAGCACCACACCAGGAGTCTACTACCAGCCGTATTCACAGCTTACTCTTCCTGCACTTGATGGGGCTGCCATAGACTTCACTCTGCAGAACCTCAGGGTTTTTATCTATAAAGTGGGTCAGCAGCCCTATCTTTTCTCCCTATTTTAGCATTTGTGGCCATCAAAGGTGAGAGAGTAGCATGGTCCAATGGACTTAGTATATCAGAAAACCCAGACCCAAATTCAGCTTTAAACCTGATAATCCTATCATGCCTCAATCTCATTTGAAAATAGAAACGTTCCATCTGGCCCTGCCCTGCCCTGCCCAGCTCACAGGGCCTTCTTGAAGCCCAAACATAATACTGGAATGCAAGTTCTTTGTACATACAAGGGCTTCTTGCTGTGGGTGACAGGCTACCAACATGCTTGGACTTCTATTTTTGTCTTCATAGCTACCGAATTATGAGTAGTGGAGATGGACTTGCTTTTCCTCAACAGGTATGTAGGAGTAAAGGTCTAGCCTAACAAATATTGGTACCTTTACCTCTAAGCTAGGGTCCTAGTAAATGAAATCTTTATTCCTATTCACTGAGCTGAAGGGTTTTATGGACAAGCTTCTACTAGGAACTACTATTACACTTGACCTTTCATTGCTTGTTTCTGATCAGAGACATGTACTTTCTTCAGACAGCATGAGACATAGCCGTTTTATTAAAGTTTTATTGAGACTAGATGTGCCACTCACTGTTCTGGACAATAGGAATGGAGAGGCAGGATATGCTCTCTGCCCTTGAGAAAGTTCAGTGGGGAAACAGGTAACACAAGGTGATCATTACCACCCATGAGTGAGAGAAGCTTCTAGAAACCACAAGCTCTTTTGGGTGAAGCAGAGAGAACTTTGTGGACGAGGCAGCATTTTAAGTTCAACCTTAAAATATTTTAAAATGTGGAGGACAGGAGTAGAGAAGAATAAAAACGAAGATGGCAATCAGTCTGGCAACAGGCAAATTCTAGAACAGAGGCCCAGCACTTGGGGAATCACCAGTGTCAATCCCAACAGCGCCCCAAGAGGATGAGTGTGGAGCTGTAGGCCACATAAGACTATTGGCCCTACAAGTGAGCTCCAGAAAACTCCAGGCAGTAGGAACAATTGTTATGCCTTTAATTGTCTAGTTCTGATTGGATAGAACACATACTCATTTTAGAAAAACTTAGAAACTAAAAATGAAATACACAAAAGAAAGTGAAAAATCACCCCTAAGCCCAGTGTTCCAAGTACGCTACACCATTCCTCAGTTAATCAACATGGTAAGGTTCCAAAGACCAGGCTGTCATGCAAAAATCAGCATTATGCAAACATGGAAGATGACCACATCGTTGCATGACTGTAAAAATGCATCATTGCATAACTGCCAAATGACATCATTTACATAACTGCTAGACCACTAAGAATCATGGCCCTGCCAAGTAAGTTGGCACATATTATCACAGCACAGTGTTAATCTTGCTTCATACCTCAACACTTATGACTGCTAGATGTACATCATTAATGCACAAAATCGATTTTCTATTATCTTAAATGCAAAATGTTGCATAACATATCTTGTGAGGAGCAGGTTACTGTGAACATTTGTCTAATTTTCTTTGCTTTTTTGATCCATCAAACACACAAAAATTGCTGACCTTGCAGTTCAAACCGACTTTGCAGTCCAGCGCATTAGCCCACCTCAGCCCACACCATGACTCCATATCCTACCATTAGCCCCTTTTTATAGGCACAGTCACCGAAACTATGAAAAACGAAGTAACTTACTCAAAACTCACTACCATCGAGTTGATTTCAACTCATAGTGACAAAGTAGAAGTGCTTCTTTGTGTTTCCAAGACTATAAATCTTTACAGAAGCAGACAGCCTCGTCTTTCTCCTGTGGAGTGGCTGATGGATTTGATCTGCCAACATGGCTGTTAACCAACCAATGCTTAACCCACTACACCACCAGGGTTTCTTAACTTGCTCAAGGCTAATCCAAATAAGTTGTTGGGGAGTCAGGATGCAAATTCCAGTCTTTTGATCCAAAGCCAGACTGAAATTATGACTTTTCAGATGGAGAAATGGGCACAGAGAAAAGAAGTGACTTGTCTGAGGTCACACAGCCAGTTCCTGAGAGAGCTAGACCCAGACCACAGGCCTCCTGGACTTTTCTCTAACCTGTGTCCGCTGTCAGGGTGGGATTCTGGAAATCTGAGGGGAGGAGTGCTGATGGGGCCTTGCCCTGTGAGTCTAAAGGAGACCATCATTGTAGAAGCAGGCAGGTGGCACACTGTCCTCTGCCTTCAAGCAGCCACACCCAGTAGAGCACACAGGACCACCCTCCTCTACTGAGCAGACACTCACTAAACCTTGGTTTTAACTTCCGTCCCATCCATGAGAATGCTAACCTCAGTATTCTGCGGATGCTAAGGTCAGAGAAGCAGCTAACTTTGTGCACTGTGTGGGGTCCCATTCTAATAACAGAAACAAGAATCTCAAGCAACTGTAGAGTGATTAGCTACATGCCAGACAATGAGCTGAGGGTTCTACATATGTCATTTCCCGTAGCTTTTATAGAAACCTCAGGAAATAGGTGTGGTTACTATCACTGTTACTTTACAGACAAGGAAACCCAAGTTCTAAGGAGTAAAAATCAAGGACAGGAGTCAGTAATTGAACCCAAACCAATCTATGCCAGGTTCTCACCCTGAAGTTAAATGACATGATATTGTTGTTAAGTACCCTCAAGTCAGTTCTGACTCATTGCAATCCTGTATAGGGTTTCCAGAGAGTGACTGGCAGGTTTGAACCGCCGACCTTGCAGTCCAGTGCTTATCCTACAGTTCCATACCAGGACTCCGAATTACTTGATAAGAATCTAGAAACAGCAGAATGATGTGGAAGAGGAACAACAAAAAAGCTACCAGCTATGAGATCCAGTTTCAGTGCTGTACTGACGACTTTCTAGTGTTGTTAAGTACCGTAGAGTTGGTTCCAACTCATAGTGACCCTAAACAGGGTTTCCGAGGCTGCAAATCTTTACGAGAGGAGAAAGCCTCATCTTTGTCCCGTGGAATAGCTGGTAGTTTTGAACTGCTGACCCTGAGGTTAGCAACCCAAGTTGTAACCACTACACTACCAGAGCTCCTTTTTTAATGTTAAGTGCCGTCGAGTCGATTCCAACCCATAGCGACCCTGTACAGGGTTTCCAAGTCTGTAAATCTTTACGGGAGCAGAAAGCCTCATCTTTATCCCGTGGAGCGGCTGGTAGTTTCGAACTGCTGACCTTAAGGTTTGCAGCCCGATTCGTAACCACTATGCTACCAGAGCTCCTCCTTTTTTGATAGCTATAATTAGTTGAAGAGGAGCTCTGGTGGTGCAATAGTTCAGCACTTGTCTGCTAACTGGAAGGTCAGCGGTTCAAACCCATCAGCCATTCCATAGATGAAATGACCTGGTGATCTCCTCTCATAAAGAATGGAACCTAGAAGACCCTATGGGGCAGTTCTACTCTGCCATGTTAGGGTCACTATGAGGTGGAATT